GCCCAGGGCTGTCCTGCAGAGCAGGGTCCTGCAGCCCAGGGCGCTGTGCTGGGGCAGGGACTCTGCTGCCTGCCAGGGACAGCTCTCAGCCAGCCCTGGCAGCTGCTCCCAGCACTGGGGGACAAGATCTGGGTGGGAGGAGGCAGCTGGTAAGGCTTGGAAGTGTTCTCCTTGTGTGGTGAGGATGCTGCATTGTTCAGGACTGCTCCCATCATGGCATTTAACTGCAGAACACTTCCAAGTAGATCATACAGGGAGCAGAGCTTGGCAGGGGTTTCATAAATGGGAAAAGCCTGGGTTTTTATTCTACTGCTCTGTTTTGTCTGAATGGGAAATTGCATATAGATATTCATCTCTCAGTTCAGGTGGAGAATAAATAAAAAAAACCCAATAGACCTGAATAAACCAGGCAGTGACAGAAATCATCACAGGGCCCCTCAGACGGCGGCATCTTTGTTGCTTTTCCAGCCTCCTCAGGGTTGCTCTGACGTTGCGATCAGAGCCTGCAGAGCCAGAGCTGCCCCTGGGCAGTGCCAGAGCTGGGAGGGGTCTGCAGGGCAGAGCTGAGCCCCCAGGGCTGGGCTGGGCTCTGGCAGTACTGGCAGGGCCCAGTCCTGGGCACAGGGAAGCAGCTGCTGGCAGGGACAGTTCCAGGCAGCAGAGCCCTGGGCAGGGAGTGGGGGGAAAGTGCCCCCAGTCTGTGCTGGGATTTTTAAAGTCCTCTTCAAACACAACTATACCATGATTACTTTTTTTACAGATCCCCATGCCAAGACACTGCAAATGTCCAACAGCAGCTCCATCAGCCACTTCCTCCTGCTGGCATTGGCAGACACGCGGCAGCTGCAGCTCCTGCACTTCTGCCTCTTGCTGGGCATCTCCCTGGCTGCCCTCCTGGGCAATGGCCTCATCATCAGCGCCATAGCCTGCGGCCACCACCTGCACACGCCCATGTTCTTCTTCTTGCTCAACCTCTCTGTTCTTGACATGGCCTTCCTAAGCACCACTGTCCCCAAGGCCATGCACAATTCCCTCTGGGACACCAGGACCATCTCCTACACTGGATGTGCTGCACAGGTTTTTCTGATTTTCTTCTTCTCTGGATCAGAGCTTGCCCTTCTCACAGTCATGTCGTATGATCGCTACGTGTCCATCTGCAAACCCCTGCACTACGGGACCCTCCTGGGCAGCAGAGCTTGTGCCCACATGGCAGCAGCTGCCTGGGCCAGTGGCTTTCTCTACGCTGTCATGCACACAGTCAATACATTTTCCCTGCCCCTGTGCCATGGCAATGCCTTAGGCCAGTTCTTCTGTGAAATTCCTCAGATCCTCAAGCTCTCCTGCTCCAATTCCTACCTCAGGGAACTTGGGCTTCTCATAGTTTGTACTTTTTTGTTAGTTGGTTGTTTTGTGTTCATTGTTTTCTCCTATGTGCAGATCTTCAGGGCTGTACTGAGGATCCCCTCTGAGCAGGGACGGCACAAAGCCTTTTCCACCTGCCTCCCTCACCTGGCCGTGCTCTTCCTGTTTATCAGCACTGCAGTATTTGCCTACCTGAAGCCCCCCTCCATGTCCTCCCCATCCCTGGATCTGGCCCTGTCAGTTTTGTACTCGGTGGTGCCTCCTGCCCTGAACCCCCTCATCTACAGCCTGAGGAACCAGGAGCTCAAGGATGCCCTGAGGACAAAGATGACTGGGTACTTTTCAGAAGCAAAGAAGTGATTGTTTTCTGCTGCTTAGTTTTCAGAATGGAACTCATGACTGGCCCAGTCTCTGCCTTCTCAGGTATTTGGTCATGCTGATGGATTCTTCTTGCCATAATGTGCTCAATTAAATGTTTCTATTCATCCCTCACCTAATTCCCTGTCTGCCTCTTGAATTTGATCCAGAAGCTCTGTAATCCAGGAGCTGTACTATTGCTTTGTTTGAACAAAATAAACGACCTTGCAGTGCCTTGTTTTTTTGGGATCTCAACTCTGGGACCTGCATGAAGTTATAGGGGTGAAAGGGAAGGGTCCCAACACAGCAGCACTGCCAGGGAGCAGCAGCACTTGGTCCTTTCAGAGCTGCTCTTCCCAAGTCCACACTCTCTTTCCCAGCCCTGCTGTGGGTGCAAGGCCAGAGTGCTCTGGCAGCTTGGTCACTGTCCTGCTGCATGTCCCTGCTGTGACCACAGGCAGGGCCAGGCCATGGGCACTACTAGGACACAGCTGGGCTCAAGCACAGCAGCTCCATCAGGAAAGGGCATCCCCTGAGGGCAGAGCAGGAAGGCTTTGCCCTCTCTCCATTTCCTGCTGTCAGGAATGTGCCCCAGGAATGTCCTGGCACAGCAAAGCCCAGTGCCTGGGGCAGGGGGAGAGTGTGCATGGGGGGCTCACAGCAGAGTCCTGGCACAGCCAGAGCTCCTGGCATGGACCTGAGGCAGAAGCAGAGCAGGGCCTGGGCTTTGTCCTTGTTCCAGGACAGCCTGGGAAGGTGGCCCAGGGCAATTGTCCCACACCAGCCCCTGCAACCACCACTGCCAGCACTGGCCTCTCCCTACCTACAGGAGGTTGTTTGTCACTGCACAGAGGGACACCAAGTAACCAGGCCAGCAGGCCATGTTTGCTCTGTACTGAGGAGATCTCAGCAGTGCATCATGTGTGTGTGGGGACATGAACCCCAGTGAGTACAAACACCATCAGCAGCACCCGGCCACTTCACTCAAGAGGAATGTCCTCTCGGAAACCACCTAAATTCTTTGCTTGGCTGTGCTGAGGACTGCATTGAAAGAAACATCCAGGGCAGGGAGGCTCCAGGGAAAATGCTCAGGACCGCCATAGACTGCACAGAGAGACATTGGAGTGGTGACTCTGTGGGAAGAAATCACAGCTGCCTCCCTTCTGAACCACCCTGAGGACCTGGACAGGGCTCTGCTGTGTCCTGGGCACTAAGCTGGCACTGAGGGATGTGGAAAAGGCTTTTGGTGTCAGGGATGTTGAGAAGGCTGGGCAGTGTCACTGTGAGACTTCTCTCAAAGCTCTTGGAAAGGCCAGAGCCATCCCAGAGGATCCTGGGCACCTGGGAAGGGCAGACATGGAAGCAGTCTGCAAACATGTGGCAGCAGCTCTCTGGCCACAGGGAGCAAGGCACAACTAGCCAGGTATTGTCTTAGGGAAGGCTGTGAGAAGACCAGAGAAATTAATGAGAAATAATTCTTATCTTCACTTGCTGCGCCTGCTGTTGTGAACATGTAGAATGTGTTATGAAGATTTGTTTACCAAAGGGTGATTTCTTAATTGGCCACTGGTGATGGTGTTTGGATTCAAGGACCAATTAGGTCCACCTGTATGGTGACTGTCTCTAAGGGCGATGGGTGTCTTAAAAGGCATAGTATAATAAAGTGATTGATCAGCCTTCTGAGAATTGTGGAGTCAATGCTAATTATTACCCCTTTGGGGACGCCTGGTTACGGCAAGGGGTGAACCCCGATGTGACCTGGGGGAGCTTGCGGTTGGGAAAAGGTGCCTGCAGAAATGGGCATCCAAATTTCTATGTCAGAAGATGAAACCCTTGCAGTGTGGGAACTTATGACTTGTCATGAGACTTCCTATGTTGCAAGATGTTCTCTGCAGGCTTTTCTGTTAGGCCAAAATTCATGGTTTCCCCGTGGATGTGGAAATCTCACTGGATCTGCAGGCCTGGGACTCACTGGGTCTCTGTGTCTGGGGGAACTGAGGTGAGATGTGAATGTACCTTGACTACTATCAATCTGGTCAATGCTTTCCAGAACTCTAAGGGGCCAGACCCCATGGGAAAGCGAATCCACCTTGATAGGCACATCCCAGTCAGACTTGGAGGAGCGCGTCCCCCGGCATGGGCAGCCACCAGCCCCTCTGCTACAGCCAGCTGTGGATCTGTTTAGGGACAGCCACCACTGGCTCATTGACCCCTGCCCTGCCGGGGAGGCAGGGGGGGCACTGCACCTGGAGCAGCTTGCTCCTGGCTTCCCAGAGCATGCACATGAAGGTGTGAGAGATGGTCTGCAGTTCCCCTCATTTGCCTCACGACCGTCCCCAGGACAGACATTGGGACCCTGAGGACCTGGATTGGAATTCTGGCCTGCCGGTGGTGGATGAACGCCAAATAATCCTGAGGCTCCTGAGCAGAATTCTGGCCTGCCAAGGGATTGTTTGCAGCTGTGTCTACAGTGACTGCTTCTAGCAGGGCCTGCCAGGGGGTAACACACCCCATGTGCTTGCACCTGCTCTGTGACAATAGCTTGTGGATTTCCCCACCTCTTGGCCTGGTTGGACTTTTCTGGGGTAACCTTTGGTGGTCCCCCTCCCACAGAAGAGCCATCATCTGCTTTTCAACCACCCTGATGGACGGACTGAGATGGGAGAAGACTCTCCCTCAAGGACTGAGATATGAGAACCCTATATGGAGAAGCTCCCCCTTCCCAAGGACTGAGACTGAAACCCTCAACATGGGGGAGGTGTGTGGGGGAGCTGACCTGACCAAAGCCAGATATTTGCCTGCAGGTATGGCCATTGGACCAAGAAGACAATGGTTCTCACCTACTGCTGAGAACACAGACTGTCTGTACCTGTCTTCAATACCTTCTTTCCCCCTCAGCAATTTCAATAGACTTATTCTTTATTGCATCTGTTCCCCCTCAACAATTTCAAGATTTGTTCCCCTCCTCAGCAATGGACTATAATAGAACCTTGAGTTTACCAGGACTTTTGAGATCTCCCCAATGTGACTAGGCGAACTCCATCAGTTGGACTACAAGGACTTTTTCTCTCTACGTTTGGTAGCTCCCTCTCTCTCTCTCCACCTCTTTTCTATTCTTTTCCTTTCTCTAATTCCATTAAGACATTTGCTGTGGTCATTCAATAAAGGTGCATTTGTTCTGATTGATACTGCAATCCCCTTTCCGTGTTGGTTTTGCACTCCAAGAGCAGTAAGCAAACCATCACAACCCCCATTCATATGAACAGATGGTGACAACTGACACCCATCAGGAGCTGCAGGCCGACCATGAGCAGCATCATCACTGCAGGGATCCCAAGGGACATCAGCGGGATCCAACTCATGGAGCGGGACAGGTGGGAACCCGGCACCAGCTGGTAACTCAGCTGTCCATAGACTTCTCTAACAGGGAATGCTTCACCGCGTGCCAACGGGAAGATGTGGGCCATCCGATGGTCCTTCCAATATATTCATTCTGGGAGGCACTTTTCATGGACCTGGACAAATTTATGTCACTTCCAAAGTCCAGATCATTGGCCCAGGGGAAGAAATTTTCATACAGCTCTGTTGCACAGAACCTCCTTTTTATCTATCACAAGGGACTCCTATTGCACAAGCATTCCCGTTACCTAAAGACAATCCAGGACAGGTTGCCCTCAACCCCACCATCATGTGGGTGTAGGTTGTGGCCTCCAACAAACCTGTCGTGGAGTGTGGCCTGTTCTGCAAAGGGGAGAAGATTTACTGCCTGAGCATGCTGGACACCAGGGTGGATGTTACCATCATAGCCCGCTCTGAATAGGCAGCAAATTGGGAACTACAGCCCGTGGCGGGGATGATTTCAGGGATTGGAAGGGCAGTGGTTTCCATAAGGAGTAAGAGAAATATTATAGTAGAAGGTCCCGAGGGCAAGATGGCAACCATCCAGCCATTCGTGGTGAGGGCACTGATCACCTTTTTGACCTGGAAACAACAACATCCAGTGTGGAATGACCAGTGGCCCCTTTCTTTCTAACACAAAGTTACGTGCACTGGAGGCCCTCGTGGAGGAGCAGCTTGCCAAGGGCCGCATCACCAAAACCAACAGCCCTTGGAACTCCCCTATCATTGTTTTAGGAACACCCAGCAAAGACAGGGGAGGGCCCCTCCACGATCTAAAAAAAAAAAAAAAGTCATAGAAGATAAGGTGCCCTGCAGCCCAGCATGCCCATGCCTTTGATGCTGCCCCAGGACTGGAAACTTTTTCCTGAAGGGAACAGGATAGGCTGTGGGGATCAGGTGCAGGGCAGAGGTAGGGAGAAGAATGACTTTTGCATTTTACAGAGCTATGCCTTCCCTTGGCCTTGTTGGCTAACAAGAAATGAACATCCCTCTGTGTCTTGGGCAGCTCCTTCTCCAAGGAAAGTAGGTGGGAGTTGGAGCCAAGGAGCTGAAAGCTGCAGGTGCAGCCTGGGCTGGAGGGAACTCAGATTTGCACAAGGCTGCTCTGAGGGCCAGGGCTTGGATGGGGGAAATGGTGGGGTGGGGGTAGGGACAGAGTATGATGGATTGTCAGCCATGAAGGGTCTTAATTTTAATATCCATTCAAACTGCATGATGAGGTCCATGGATTTACTGTCAATTGGAGATTGCACATAACAATAAATTAACAGGAAAACAAAACTAAACAGGATCTAAACAATCTTTTCTCACTGTATTTTTAAATAGAATATATTGACTTTGAATACATTACTGAGATCTACTTAACCACAAGTGATTTGGAAATTAAAATCAAATTATTCCCAGAGGCTTGGCTTGTTCAGGTGTTCTGAATGTTAATGAGACCTGGGACACTGAATTCCCGCACTGAAGAGCTCAAGGCTGAACAAGCCTCTGGAGCAGGAAAATTCAGCAGCAGCCTCCAAGGTGCTGAGGATGTCAGCAGCCCCCACTGAGGCCATCCCTGCCCAGAGACCGTGGGGGAATGGGCAGACAAGGAGAGCGTCCCTGGGGCTGGGGCAGCACAACTCAGAGGCACCAGGGGCTCCAGCTGGGAAATGGAGTGTGGAATGTGGCTGGGAAAGCCCTGCCTGGGCTGGGCCAAGCAGGACAGACAAGACCTGACTCCTATTCCCCAAACAACTCTCTCAAGGAGACATTTAAAAGGAATTACAATTGTTTGTGTGCTCTGAGTTAGGAGCACTGGAGAAATACCAATACAAGAGATTCTGAGGAGCACAGAAGAACAAAACAGCCTTTACTGGGTACTTTAGAAAATCAGAGAAACTTTGGCAAAAGGTTTATTATAGCTTTGTAATGGTTTTGGTTTGTTAATTTAAGATTTTTCAAATCCTGGGATTTTTTAAGTAATGCATTGATGAGTGTGGTTGGTTTTAGTGTCCATTAATTATTTATGTATTAATTTTGTTGTGAGATAGGATTGTGAGAAAGGTACAGTAGGCCTAAAATTTTAAGAGTATATAAAGAAATTTTTATTTAAAAGTAAAATTAAAAAGAAAAAAGTAGTAAGAATTAAACTCTTTAGAACACTTTTTTCTTTACAACTTTTTTTTTTACTGACAATGAAAAGAAACTAAACTTAAAATTTCTAGTTAGGGTACTATTTCTAGAATAGTCTTTTTTAGTTTACTTTGGGAGAGAAGTTTTTCTTATTAAGATTATGGATATTTTTTTACAAGAGAAAAAAATGGATTTTTTTGATGCTCTTAATTCTCTCATGGATAACAGTTGTCTATAGAACTTTGTTATTGTGAAGTTACTTTTATTGCTACAAGCTTTTTTACAGCTTGTTGATGAGCCATGTCGACTTATGGGGTATTGCTTTAAGTATGAGTCATTTAAAGGTAAAAGTTTTTATTATTAAGTTCAAAATTATTTTTATCTCTGGGAATAGAGATCTTTTTTTGAGGATACTGGACTATTTTTTTTACCCTCTTTAAACTTTTTATGAAATTACAGTTATTTTAACATTTGTTTATTTAAGTATGGAGGTTTTTGTTTGACATTAATTTGAATTTTTTCTGTAGTTTTATGTGTTATAAAGAAAAAGAGTTTTGGGGGCAAGGGCTGGGGCCACTGTTTCTTTGCTGACTGGAAAAGAAAGAGGAGGTTCCTGGGTTTTTTCATCTTTAACATATGTGTTTCACAGAGGCATGTTCAGCATCTTAGTGGTTCAACAGATTGTCAGTTACACAAAAAAGTTTTGTAATACTTTTTAAAATTCTTCTTATGTCAAACTACGTAAATATTCAATCAACAGAGAACACTTCTCAAAGCATTGACTTGGTCCATTCAACTTCACAAACTCTAAGCCTGTTCAAATTAATGTTAATCAAAATCTGCAGGAGCACAGAAACAGAGAAAGACAAAAAAGCCAGCCCTGTTCCGTGTTCTTTTGTTTTTATGGCACCCCACAGTGACACAATGGTACCTTGTATCCATGGGGCCCCACAGTGTCATAATGGTGCTTTGATTCCATGGGGTCCAGCAGTGTCAAAAGAGACCCTGCTTTCAATTGGATTCCACAGTGTTGCAATGGCCCCAAGGTTCCAGAAGGCCCTGCAGTGTCATAATTGTCCCAATGATTCCATGAGGCCTTGCAGTGCCACGATGATCTCTGTGGTTCCACAAGACACACAATGTCATGTGGCTCCTATTCCATGAGCCCTGCAATGTCACAATGGACCTTTGGACGCTGGGGGTTTGCAGTGTCACAATGGTCTCCTTTGGCTCCACAGTGTCAAAATGGACCCCTGATGACAGCAGGCCCCACAATGTCACCATGACCCCTATGCAGCCTTCAGTGTCACAAAGGCCTCTTGGTATCATGAGGTCCCAGAGTATTCAGAATGGTCCTCTTAGTTCTGTGGGCACCCCCAGGGTCACAATGGTCTCAGTGGTTCCATGAGGCTGTGAAGTCTCTTAATGGTCTTTCCATGGGTCCATGAGGCCCTGCAATGTCACAATGGACCTTTAGCTCCATGGGGTGTCACAGGGTTACAATAGCTCCTTGGTTCCATGACACCACAGAGAGTCATAATGGTTCCATAAGGCACTGCAGTGTCACAATGGACCTTGGTTTGATGGGGCCTCTCAGTGTCATGATGATCCCTACACTCCATGGAGCCCCACAGTGTCAGTACAGTCCCCTTGGTTCCATGAGGCCCAGCAATGTCACAGTGCTCTCCACAATTCCATGAGGCCCCACAGTGTCACAACAGTCCCTTGGTCTCACAAGACTTCACAGTGTCACAATGGTCCCTTGGTGTCACAGAGCCCCACAGTGTCACAATGCTCCCTTGGTTCCATGGCCCTGTGCTGCTGCATTCCCCCCTTCCCTTCTCAGGCCGCCCTGCCAGCTGAGAAATGCTCCTTGGGCCTCGGCCTTGGCCAACAGCCCCTGGGCTCAGCCCCTCTGCAGCTCATCACAAACACTGTCTGCTCCAGGCACTGCTGCTGCCCAACCAGCTCCTGGTTTCTGTAGGAGCAGCGCTGGGAACTGTTTTTGTTCCCTCAGTGGCACAACATCCCTGTTCTCACACTTCCAAAGAAAGCTGTCGGTGCCAAGTGTGGCCATGATGAACCATTGCTGGGACTGAAGCCCCTCTCTTGGGGCCCTAGAAACAGCACTCCAAAAGGAGCCCTTGGAGCTCTCCTGGGCCAGCAACTCCCTCTGAGTGGGGCCTCTCCCATCCGGGAACTCTCCCGTTTGCTGCACTCGGGGATCCCCAACAACTACAGAGCCTGGGCCGATCCCCACACTCCTCCAGGCTCAACCCTTCACCCATAGGGGAGATGCCAAAGGATCCACAGGGAGCATTTCCTGCCCTCAGGGGAATTTCTCACAGGTGCCTTGCCCTGACTCTTGGTGTCTGTGTGCACACAGGAGTGCCTGTGCTGGGGAAATGTGGCAGAAATGCTGCTCTCTGAGGGGTTGGAGTGCCTTGGATAGCTGTAAGTTAGGTTAAGTCACAAGGTTTGAGCTAAGTTAAATGCTGCTAAGAATTCTTCTTGTGCTAAGTTGTTATGTTTAATAAAAGTTAAGTTGAACATTGTTAAGTGTTATTCCTCTGTTAAATTGCTAAGTCATAGGTTATAAGTTAGGTTAAATATTGTTAAGCTCTGTTCTTTGCTAAATTGTGAAGTTTAAGGTGTCAGTTAAGGTTAAGGTATCAGTTAAGTCCTGTTAAGTTTGAGCTCTGTTAACCTTTTCGGCCATATTTCTTTTATCCTTGCCCTCACTGTCCTTGTGTCACACACACACAGGGACAGTTCTCAGTTAATTTCTGGTTTGATTGCCTGGATTCTGTTTGGTTTTGCTGTTTCTTTATTTCCTTGCTGTGCCTGAAATATTCCAGTCAGGAGCAAAGTGACTCTTGCCAAGGAATTTCGTGGTGCTGTCGCCTAATATTAAATCTGGTTTTCGCTGCTCCCTTGCTGGGGATTTTTT